TTTGCTGTCCTTGTGCTTTGCCCTCCCACAAAGTCCTCGATGACCAGATGTCCCCTTGACCACAGCTCTCAGCTTGGACTGGAAGAAACCTCCAGGCCTGAGGGGACAGTCTCAGTTCCAGTCCCAATCCCAAACTCAGCAGGAGTTTCTGATGTTTCTCAGTTTCCACAACCAGATGCTCTGCAGCAATTCAAGTGTTTGTCTCCCAAATGCTATTCCAAAACACTGGGCTCAAACACCATTGGCTCCTAGAAAGATGCTTCCCCATTTAGGAGCTCTGTGTTGCCAGCTTGGGGGAAGTCACAGGAACAAGAAATAAGTCTTAATAGCTCAGTCCTGATGAAGCAATGGTAATAATAAAGGATTTGAAACAAATCAAAATGCCCTGAAACTCCTTGGATCCCATAAGCCCCAACTCCTACAGATTTTTAAAGCTTTTCCTGAACCAAGTTTAGAGCCTGTGCAATTATCTCCAGTCTGAGATACTCCAGCCTGTATTTCCAAAAGTTTTGCCAAAGGAAAGTAGCTGTGAACATGCACAGACGTGTTTCTTCACGTCTCCATATCCTTGGAAAAAGGCATGGCAATAAGCAAGTGAGGAATAATCTGTCACAAATGACAGATCTAAGCATGTTTGGGTATTTTTTTAAATTCTTGATGGTTGGTCTGTCTTCCAGGATTTCCCTGCTTTGGCAGCTGAACACTACAAGGCAGGCAGATTCCTGAGCACCTTCCACTTGCAAACAGCTGTACTTCCAACAACCACATGCTGCCCTGGGCTTGAAGGCCATGGAATTTCAGCAAACCAAAATACTCCAAATCACTTCCAACAAACAAAAAAGAAGTCCCATTTTACTTGGAATCTGAAGTCAAAGATTAAAGGCTTATTGTCCTGGGCCTGGCCCTTTCCTTTGAAACAAGCAAGGTTTCTGGGAGAAACAGAAAAGCAGCCCTGCCCCTTGGGATGGCACGGATGTGAGCACAAACCAGATCCCAGCTCCAGCACAGAGACACACATCTCCAGGAACACAGTCCAGACTGGAAGTACCAGCTAAAAGCATCACACACCAATCCCTGCTCAGAGCTTGTCACAAAGACAGGAAGCTAACTGAGAAACTGAGGTGATTTTCTATACATTAACAGGTAGAAAGTGTTTTCAGACACTCTTTCTAAATGTTAGGCTTGCTGCCTTCTCTCTGTTTGCAACCTAAACCATTTGTAGTGTTTTCTTGAGGCTGGCACCTTGCACCCCTGAAGGATTCTGGCAATAAATCCTGCTAGTTTGACCAAACACCAGTAGAAATACGCACCAGCATTCTGACACACAGTGAAGGAGACAAGAGGCATCTCCTCTGTGACTAATGAAGGGTTCTTCTGCCATGACAAGTGCAGGCACATGCATGTGGGATTTTTAAATAAACAGGGTCATTTCCAAGGGAGATTAGGCAGATGTGAAAATAGGAATTTGCAGAACTGATGGCAGACAGACAACTTCCATTGCAAAAGCAGATATGCAAACTATTTCAAAACAAAAGCATTCAAGTATTTGGGGGTTTAAATGTAAGTTTAGATTCAGGAAGAGACTGCTGGCAAAATCTCACTTTGCTAGTGCAAATGCTGATTGTTCCACATATTTACTATCAAACAATCAAAATTTAGCACCAAATGCTCTTTTTCTCTTACGATATCCAGCTTCTTCTACAAGTTATACACTGTGCAAACTGCTACCCTGGTGCTTCCCTCCACTTTCTCTCCACAACTGCAGAACCTAGCTGGCTGCTCTGGAGAGTGTCTAAATTCCTTTGAAGTCAAAAACAAATCCCTCCAGCACACACACGCCCCTAGAATTTCTCACTCTTGTTCCAGTTTCTGTTAAGCCATATTATCTCACCCCTCACATCTTTAGGATACACTGAGGATTCTGGCTGGGTTGAGAGACACACAGTACAGCAACAGAGAAACCAGAGACAGTAATTGCAAGTTCCTTTTGCTACCCTGGGAGATGCTGGGAGGAAAAAAGGATAAAATAACTCATCAGGATTATTTATTTCTTTCACACTCACATGATTAGAGTTCCAAGAGATGTTAAAACAGTGAAGGTCGGAATAAACAGAGAGACAAGAGTGACCCAGGAGCATTTACCCACACTTGTCAAAGTAAAAGGCCGTGTTCTCCTGCTCCAGTCACCAAAACCATGGGAAGCACATGGGATGTTATGGGAAAAGAGGGACACATTCCAGCAGCTCAGGTTGCTCTGGGCCCCATCTAACCTGGCCTTGAACATTTCCAGGGATGGGGCAGCCACAGCTTCTCCAGGCAACCTGTGCCAGCACCTCACCAACTTCAGCAAAGATTTCATCCCAACATGCCATCCAGCCCTGTCCCCTGTCCCCGTGAAGCCACTCCCCCTCCAGGAGCCCCCCTCTGGCTTCCATCACCTGAACGCACTCCACAAGCAGCTTGCCAGCCCCCCGGCAAGCTGTGCCGGAGCTGCACTCCCTAATCTCATTGCATTTAATCCAATTGCTTGTCTTCACAACACAACGGCTTCACTCAGGCTTACTGCCAGCACCCAGCTGCCAGGGGCTCATCCGTCAGAGCCATTCCACTGCAAGCTCCATCTAGCCAGCCAGGGGTCTGCTTGGCCTTTGTAAACACTGCTAATAGATCCTCCCCAAAACTCCCCAGAAAACCCCCAAAACGCACCAAACTAACGTTGGTTATCACCTCTGATGCAAACACTACCAGTATTTCCTTTCCTTAAGCAAGGGAATTCAGAGAGTTTTGGTCTGAATGGGGGTTCTGAGCCACCTCTGCAGTTTCTCCTCAGAGACTGCTGCCACTGCTGAGGTGGGAGCTTTCCTAGCCAGCACTTATCTCCAAATGGAATCAAATCATGACCACGTGGCAGCTATAGGAAGTGGGACAGACACTTCCAAGAAAGGATGCTTGTTGCAGACTTCTTCACATGGTTTCTGTCCCAAACAGCAGGAGGGGAACCACGACATCCATCTCCCTGGCATGTTCCACCAGTGGCAGAGCACAAGGTGGGTATTGCTGGCCTTCACTGCTGCCTGAACAAACCAAGGAATGGTGTGTGGGCTCCAAACATGCCCAGCCTTTCATTCTGGGATTTGGGCATCTGCTCAGCCACAGGGAAACCTGCATGTTCACTGACAGGTCGAAAACAAACCTGTTCCCCCTTGCTCAACTCTCACATGACACCTCCTGATGAAACAAAACTGCAGCTAAGAGAACAAAAAGCATGCTCACTTTATAAAGGAACCCTTTAAAACTTAATGCTGCTATTCTTGGATAGCAGGGCAGCCCATCATTTCCACACCTGAGAAGCAAAGAGGGATGATTTGGACACCAAATTCTAAACTCAGTTAAAAAAAGGTCACCTTTTAAGTCTGAAAATGTCTTCATATTCATTTTCCTGTTTGTAACACCTCATGCAAGTAAAAAAAGGAAACCCAACAACACGTAGGTTTGAGTTCCCTCTCACATACCTGAGACGTTAAGAACTTTGCTTATCAACCTCAGAGAAATTATCCCAAAGCAAAGTGACAGGGCATTAATATTTTCTAAGAAATCAAGTTCCATAAATGACATCATCAGGAACACGTGGTTACGAGCAACAAAAGCTGTGCCAGGAGACACGAATGCCAAGAACCAGCCTTACCAGCCCATCACAGTTGCTGATGGCCACGGCCGCTCCGGGGATGTCCGTGATGTCCCCCACGTAGGCGCAGTCGGTCCACAGGGGCTCTCTCTTCCACGGG